TGGGAAAGGCTCCAGGCTCGGGCCCAGCCTAATGAGAAGCGACACATCACTTTCCCCGTCCGCACTTCTACGAGAAGACCGGGGCTCCACGGTCTCCTCCTCTGCCCACTCAGAGTTTACAGTAGATTACCAAGTAGAAAATAGTCGATTTGCTCCCGCACTTTCGCTTATCTCTGAAACTACATATCCCAGGCTTTTGGTAAAGTCACACAATGTCAACTGAACCTTCCACTCTGAGTGGAAAATCGGAAAGCTACCCACCTACAACAGCACCGATTTTTGTTTGTTTTCTTAGGTGAACAAAACCTGCCCTTTAGGAAAGAATTTCGTTAAATGGGGCTTGGATCGTGAGTTTTTTGCTTTCTGTCTGCGGAGGTCCCGAGTACAACCATTACTTTTTAAACATTAGGATACTGATGCTTAACATACTTAAAAAAAAAAAACAACAACAAAAAAAAAAAGTCTAACAGTCCCCAAAAGTCAACTTCTTTCAGTGTTCACTGAAATATATTGCAAATTCTTTTTGCTGGCAGTAAGAATACTTCACATGAGTCTTCTAGCAAACAGGATGTCTGGAAAATTATACCTCAGCCAACCTAGATTTTGAATCTGCAATTTGCAATTTGCCACATTCCACTGGGAGGGAGATGTGGAGCAAGTCGCTGAGTGTCTTTTCACACCTTCTCTCGGCTCTACTCGCTTTTTCCCAGGAGCGGGCGACTGAGATCAGGGCACTCCTCTCTCGGAGGGTTCTCTCTGCAGCCTAACTCCTGAACTGACCTAATGCAATAAAATATCTGGATCTGAACGTGAAAGGAGCACCTAGGTTGCCCAGCAAAGAAAAAGAAAGCTTGTGGAAATACTGAGCCATTTGAGCACCTGTTTTTCGAGACAGCCAGTTTTCTTCACATTTCATCGACCCTTGCGGCTGCTGGGGTACTCGATCCTATTCAAGGACAGGCACCGCTGTCCTTCTCCCCGTGCTGCCAGCCCTCAGCTGCAGGAACACCCAACTCTCATCTTCACAGCATCCCCTTCCGTTTACCCAGATAATTGGTGTGTGTATATATGGAAGGAAGCGAGCGTTACCTCCAAATTCGTTTAGCCTAATCCCAGGTAGCGTTGATTTCTTCCCATTCAGTGGTTAAATACATTTCGTATTGTAACTTTCCTGAAAGGAAGATTAAGTGTTGGTGTAAAATAGATTAAAAACATGCAAGTGTCTTGTCTGACATCCATTGTTAAAAATCCAATATTAGAAACTGGGAGGAGAGATAGGGGGGATGGTGATTCCTGCGCATTTGGAAGGGAGACCGTCGCCCGTTCTGATGCCGTTCTCACTTTATTTAAACAAACGCAAGGATGTAAGAACTGTTGAGGAGATCTCTCAACAGGCAGTAGCACCGTTTCGGCTGGAAACTACCATCCAGGACAGCAGCTGCATCATCGGCTGGGCACGCAGCAGCCGCCGCCCTGCCCAGTGCGGGTTGTCTCGGACCGTGCGGGTCCAGCACCACACTCTCACATTTTTTTTTTTTCCCCTGAAACTGTTCACTTTTCGGCAGCGAAACGCTTGCAATTGATACGGGAGCCTCATTCCTACGCTCGGGTCTGTAACTCCTGATCTCAGGAGTGGGAGGAATGCGAGGGCGGAGGAGGGGAAGGCAACCCGTGGGTGCCGAGGCGGGGAAGCCTCCCGCAGTCTGCGCGCCCGGCTGATCTCAGGGGACAGGCTTCCCCCAAGGAGCTCCTACGAGCTGCAGGGGCGAACTCCTTCACACCACCTCTGGCCACGAAACGTCTGACCATCACACATAACACCCTTTCACAGAAGGTTTAGGAGATACTCCATCTCTGGAAACACAGCGGCACATCTGCACGCAGCTCTTAATAACTGGGCTGCCTGGCGGAGGGAATCAGTCCCTGAAGAAAGATGCTTTTCAAAGCTGTCTCACCTCAGCACAGGATTTATTTTTTTATTTACTTTTTTTTCTTTTCCCTTTGCCGCCTTCCCTCCCGGGATCTGTCCAACCCCTTTTAAATGGTTTTAGCCCGTTGAAGTCAGCTTTCAGTTTTCAAGCTTTTAAGGAGAACGAATGCCATACGTGGCGCAAATTCTCCCCTAGGTTATATCTCTCCTTCCCTTTGAAGTCAGCTGGGTTACAGAGAGGTAAATAAGAGCAGAATTTGGTCCCTGGAGCTAACAGTGGTGTGGAACCACTCTGAGTTTTATTTAATTAATTATTTTTCCCAGGGAGGAGGGATGGCGATAAGATCCGGTTATAATTTGTGTCGTTCTCTATCCTTAATACTCAGATGTTGTAAGCGCTCATATAAATCACAGCTCTAATCTCGCGGGGGAGAGCTTTGTAAAGCGAGTGGAGTCACCACTGGGGTGCAGATGCTGCGGGAAGGATCTTTTTTTTTTCTTTTTTTTATCAGCGGAACACAGAGAACGTTGCAGCCTGTCCCGAGCCTGGTCCCAGCCTAGGCCGGCGCTTCCACAGCCCCGCGGGTCAGCAGCTGCCATCGGGGCGGACAGGGAGGGAAGAAAAGAAGGACAGAGAGAGGGCGGAGAGGGAAGAAGGGAGGAAGGGAAGCTGCGGAGCTGCCGGGGTGCGGGTCGGGAGCGAGCGCCACTCGTGCTTCCCACAACCTCTCTGGAGAAAGTCCTGAGTCCTGGTGCTGCTGCAAGCTGCCTTTTTTTTTTTTTTTCTGAACAGGCACATGAGATGCTCCTTGTCCTCGGCTCCCCTGGAGTTTACTAGCTGCCTTTAAAGGGGGACATTTATTGGGATAAAAGTGGATTGCAGGCTGCAACAACGCTGCATGTGTCTTTCATTTAAAAGACACCTAGAGCTCTTTTTTTTTTTTTTTTTTTTTTTTTCTTCTTCTTCTTCCCTCCCCCAAGGCATTTAGTGCTTTTAAGGCACAGTTATAAACAAGCGGCCGAACGCCAGCACACGGAGATGCGGGCGGTGGGGGGCAGGGACACGATCTATTTCCCCCAGTCTGGAGCAGGCTTTGCTCCAAAAGATGCAAGGAGGAAACGTGCCTCTTCTTCATGAAAAACTATGAAGGAGGGGAAGTGCCTCTGGAGCGGCTCCCGGGGCCGGGTCCTGCCCCCGGCCCTGGCGAGGCAGCGGCGTGACCCCCTTGTCTCACCTGGCCCCGCACCGCGGGCACCGCTCCCCCTCTCTGCTCCTTCCCCTTTTCCCGGTAGCCTACGGGATCGCTTCCACTTCTCCCTTCCCAGAGGCGGTCCAAACAGGTCCACACGGCCAAAAACACAGCAACGAACCCCAAGTCCCCGAGCATCACCTCTGCGTTCTCCCTCTTCGGGACCGCGCAGAGCTGGGAAGGTGGCGGGGGGGACCGGCGGGACCGCAGGCCGGTGTCGGAGGAACGTAAAGCTGGAAAATGGGGCGGAGATGCCGAGGTGACATCCCGGCTCTGTGGCACGGCAGGACAGGGCAGGTTGTGCGTGTACGGGGTGATGCCCTCGGTTACTCGACTATAGTTGAAACGAACATCCCTTGCTTAGCTACCCCTTTCTCCGGAAAAATATTAAACTGAAGGAGGAGGGGATCAGCTCGCCAGGAAATACGCTGGACCTGAACTGGCCGTCTCATCACCTTTGGCTGGGTTCACAAGAAAGGTCTCTACGGAGCTCAGCAGTCCCGGCTGGCCGCTACCGCACCCATACCTCAACCTCTCATTAAAGCTTCACTTCTCCCATTAAAGCGTCACTTCTTCTCCACTCACATGGGGGAAGGGCCCATTGAACCAATTTATAAAACAGCCTTAACAGAACAGACCAACTCGGGCCCACGATGCTGCAACGCTGATCTGAAATTATTGTAGACTTGGTTTTACTTTACTCTGAAGATTACTCCTTTCAGTGGGAAGCAGGGAGCAGCTCCTTTCCATAATTTGGGCCTTTTCTTAATAGCTCCTCAAATCTCTCTTGCCTTTGTTTTAAAGGCTGTCTATGTGTGAAAGGACCAAGGAGTTCAACACTTCAAAGCTCACGCTTTGGGTGAAAACCACTTGCTTTTTCAATATCCATAGGAATGTGTGCATATATGGCTTGTTTCTTTTTCTTTTTATTACCTAAGATTCTGTTTCAATACTTTCCCTTAGAAACTGTTTTGTTGTTTTTGTTGGTTTTTTTTTTCCAAGTCGGTAGTTATAATATTTCAGGAGATTTAAAATAAAGGACCCCTTTTAAACCACTTTGCACATCCACATGCAGAGGCAGACTGAAGGTCTGTCTGATAGCAGTCAAATTCTCTTTTAGGCCGGTTTCTGTTGTGAGAGATTTCTAGTTTTAAGTTCCTCTGTTTTCTGTTCCCACTACACAAACAACGGCCTATTTCTTTAACTCTCTTTAGCTCTAGGACCAAACTTCGGAGCTGTTTAACAAAGAAGGAACAGCAGTTCTAAATTTTACAGCTTCAGAGAACAGCTACCAAGGTATCCGTCAAACTGATTAAAGAAGATCCTTTACTAGAGGGTATGTGCCCCTGAAATTACCTCACTCTAAACCTCTCGGGCTTCTGGGGGGAAAGAGAGGGAAGCAAGGGATAATTCTCTTTCCAGGATCCCTGGAGAAATGTGTGTTCCAGAGGGGAAATGTCATTTTCATGTGTCCCCCCTTCCTCTCTGTCTCCCCTCACCCTCCTCGCATGCCTGTGTGTATGTCTCTGTCTGTCGAAAATGGGCCTGGAACTCCCTCCTGCGTTGGGATTAGGTCTTTGGGGACCTGGGGTGGAGTTACGCTGCTTGCCTATTTTCATATTCATTAGAAATGGGAGGTTGCATAAGGAGCCCTGCTGAGCTTCAAGATATAAAAGCAACTTCGGGTTCCCCCTTTCAAGACAAGACAAATCAAAGGCTCAGAAGCAAAACAGCTCCCTGAGCTCTGAACTTCTTTCCCTCCCTCCTTCCTTCCCTCCCATCCACTCGCCCACTCTCCCTCCCTCCCCTGCTCCTGCGTAGGGAAGAGGCTCTCAAGCAGCGTTAGATGATTATGGATTTTCTGAGTGAGAAGTTTGCCCTGAAGAGCCAGCCGAGCAAGAACAGTGACTTTTACATGGGAGCAGGAGGCACTTTGGAGCACGTTATGGAAACTTTGGACAATGAGTCCTTTTATAGCAAAACATCAGGCAGCAAATGTGTGCAGGCCTTCAACCCTCTGCAAAGGGCTGAGCATCATGTGAGGCTGGAGAGGACATCACCCTGCCAGGACAACAACGGTGAGTTGCCATCCCAGGGTTATTCTCCCTCTAGTGCTTTGCCCTCCCTAGAGATGTGCAAGGGAGTGGAGGGCTTCCCCTGACAGGGGGGACCGAAGGCAGCTGTGCAGGGTGCTGGCAGGCCAGGGGCTGGCAGGTAGGGGATGATGATGATAGTAGTAGTAGTAATAATAATAATTACGATTATGATAATGATATTAACAACAATTATAATGATAATAAAACCAGCAACAATAATAATAGGATAAAACGATCGTCTACTTCGAACCGCTCTCTTCCTTTCAGG